AGCAGCAAGTGCAGGATAAATAATGGTTCCATAAATACAGGACATGGGTTTTCTACTTAATGAGTATAGAGGTGAATACTATTATAAATAATGAATATAATATATAGATCACTAGTGTGAACTAAATTTACAGCTGGATATGTACAGAATAAAATATACAGTGTGGATAATACTATAAAAATGTATTTATGGACTCATATGCTGGTTAAATTGAGTCTCCATAAGAAAGCTTCAACTGAGAGAAGACATTTAGAGCTGTTATTGTTCCACAATTGATATAAAAGGACACATTTAGGTAACAACATCCATTTTCCAATACTTTTGTCTTTACCTAAACATGTTAGGTACCATTACAGATAAAGCTATATACTGAGTTGTAAAATAAAATCTGAAATGTTTTTGCTTCTAAGGGGTTCATTGTTTGAAACCAAACCTAAATATTTGCAGTCCACAATAAAGAATAAAAACGCTAAAATGTACCTTTATATAAAACTTTTGGTAGGGAGTTGTAACACTGATTTTGCAAGGTAAATTTATCTGCAAAATCTCTCTCCTTGTCTACAGTATTTGCATATTTCTCTCTAGTTATGTTATTCTTTGATGCTGTTTCCTTTCCTTTAATTCAAGTTCCCATTTTTTCTGCCCCCAGGCATGGATAAGCCACCTATTGCTCCTAAGCCGAAGTTCATTTCCAACCAGAGGCCTGTCCGGTCTCCTTTAGTCCCTAGAAGAGACGGCCTCTCGCGTCTCTCACCTGGCACACCAAAGAAGGTTAAACCAGCAATTGCTCCAAAGCCAATCTTGTCTAAATTCCCAACTCCTTTAGAATCCAGGCCCCCGATTCTGAAGCAGCAAAAACCCCCCAATGGATTTCCCCAAAACAAAAAGCCTGAATGGGATTATATCATTCCTATTTGCCTGTGCGCCCAAGAAAACTGCACATGCATGAACAAGACGAAGCTCGAGCAGAGAGAAAAAGACTTTGAAGCACCACAACGTAGCAAGATGGTACAGAACAAAAACACTCCTTCTATACCTAAGGATAACATCCAAGTGATGAACAACACTTCAAATAATGGTCGTATCATTAATTATGAAAAGTTTAATAAGACCCAAAGCCACAAAACAGACTCTGACACCTTTAGTGATGAAAAGCCTGTTGGGCCATCTCAGAGAACATTAAGGCAAGATGTACCTGGAACAGGACAACAGGGTGTTAGTCTTGGCTCAGAGCGAACCAGTGTGCAACCACCCAAACGTCCCCCACCAGGCCTTAGGAAGCCTCACCCTGTCCCTGTTCCAAGGAAACCCAGGACTAATGCACCATTCAGCCAGGAAAAGGTGGAGAGGGATAGGGATGAAACTGCCATCCAGGAAAGCATGGAAGTAAGTCTGCAGGAGGTGGAGATGTCATCAGACGGAAAGGGATGGTCATCCCCATCTGTCAGCATACCTGATAATAAAAATAGAGCGGTTATACAGTCTGCAAGGCAGGCCTGTCCACCACCGGTCCCTCCTTCCAGGAAAAAACCTTTATCTAACCCCTTAAAAGCACCTCTGTCTACTACACCAGCTCCATTTGAGGACATGTACTCTGAAGATTTAGGTAGGAGCAACAGCATCCATGAGATGGAGTTATGTGTGGATAGTGGATTGGAAGTGTTGCCGAAGAAGGTTGTGGATAATCAGGAAGACAGGGATCAGCTGCCTTTGGACGCTTCACTTAGTCCACCTATACCCAAGGATGTTCCAAAGATGTTTGTGAAAGCAGAGGACAGAGGGATTAAAAACAAAACGCCAAGGAAACTTCTGAGAAACAACAGCACATTGGGATTCCATGAGGATAAAGGTTTGAAGAAACTGGAAAACTTTGAAGCAAGGCAAGCCAATATAGTCAAAGATGGGAAATCGAAGGAATTGATGAAAAGGGAGCTGCCTTTGCCTCCTCACCTGAAATCAGACAATAAACCTGCAAAACCTGAAAGCCTCCACCCTTCTCGTACTAGCCTCAACAAAAAGAAATCCAAATCCTTTTCTTCTGCGGACCTCATTCACTCTGACGGACAGAAGGGAAAAGCCTTCAGGAAAATCTTAGAACTGAAGCTCCACAAAAAGACATTACAGAAGAAGACGACCACTGCGAATTATTCCATATCACATCCTCACAGGGAAGAGTTTACTCACCCCAGCAGTCCAGACCATATGGGTATTGATGATAACATCCGTTATTCCCAGGCTGGTGTTGAACAGAGCGTTGACGGAGATGAGATTTACCAGGAACCCCCTCTGTCTCCCATCTATCACACTATTCCCCTTCATTTTGATAGTCCGGATTATGAAAACATAGATTTTGGAAAGCCCGTCTCTCCTTATCCGGTTTTCGACCCAGAGGGGTGGCAGAGCCCTCAGAATGATGATGAAGGGATTTATGAAGAGCATGACCCTTATTTCTCCTTGGTTAAAGAGCAACAGCATCTGACACCAACAGGATATAAAAGGTAGGCTTAATTTCAGTTATATTTCTTAGTGTGTGCTGCATGATGTTACTAAAGAGTCTCTATTTCACCTGCAAAACGCTAGCCTCGTGAGACCATCCTGATCTCGCGAGCTTTCAAGTTTTCACTCGCAGATCAGTCTGGAGACTCTCCATTAAAAAAAATTTGGAGCCGTTCACCAAACGAATGTCCAATCAGCGTTGGCTTTGAGGCGGGTTGAGGTGTGACGCAACGAGAAGCGCGACAGTTCAGTCTAAAGAACATGGCGGCTTCAGCCGA